TTGCGCGCCAGCGACAGCAGCTGCAGGTGGACGAGCTGCGACAGCGGACCGTGCGGCTCCAGGCGCCGCAGGTCCACGCCCTCCACACGGAGCTCCTTGAGCTGGGGACAGAAAGCCTGCTGCTTGAAGCGCCGCGCGCCAGCCCGCACCCGGTATGGTGGGGGTGGGCACTCACGTAGGTGTAGTGACTGATGTTTGCGGGGAGGCGGTAGTTCCGGGGCGTTGGGTGCGCCCCCGTGATGTTGATGACCTCGACGACGCACCGGTTGCGCGTGAAGACGGGCACTGCTGACCTGGACGCGTTCCTCTCGGAGACCAGGCAGTGGAAGCCCCACTGGCCGCCGGGCCCCGGGGACCTGCTGCAGGAGCAGCCGGCGGGGCAGTGCAGCGCGCCGGCGCACAGGCGGCGGCACTCCAACCAGGACACGCACGAGGCGTCGCAGGCGGCCGAGGGGTGGTCGCAGGACCCGGCGGGGGGACACCACCTGCGGGCGTGGTGGCCACGGTCAGCCTGGTTTTTAACCCCCGTCCCCTTCCTTCCCGCATACTTACAGCACGTGTCTGCAGTGTGTGATGCTGTGCCTGTCGCAGCGGTCCTCGCAGGCGAAGGAGGCAGGACTCCTATCGTGCTGGTCGTGGCCGTGGACCCTGGTCAGAGAATCAGTGGAGTGTCATCGCCAGAAAAATAAATCAGCTTAGTGACAACTGACAATTGTTGAAAAGCACCGTAGTCGAACTGTGGCGATATTATCAGACATGAAATCAGTTAGATGCAACTTGATGCATGTTGTATAGAGTGAAGCCAATAGTGATCACATTAGCAAAAGCTCTAAATCGGGGACTTTGGTCCTGCCATTGACCTGTAGCACTCGTTGCTGTCGCCCGCTCCCGTGCTCTCGTTCCTCCTGACGGAGGACCCCCCGTCTGTGGGTACCTCTGGTCCCGCCGCGGGTCCCGCCGCGGGTCCCGCCATGGGTCCCGACGTGGGTCCCATCGTGGGTCCCGCCGTGGGTCCCGTCGTGGGTCCAACCGTGGGTTCCGTCGTGGGCCCCTCCGTGGGTTCAGCCGTGGGTCCCAACGTGGGTCCCACCGCTGTGCGACTGCATGCTGCTGGACCATACTCGCGCCACACCCGCTCGCACGCGACCCCGTCGGCCATGGCGTCCTTTGTGAAGAGTCCTCCGGCATGGGAGACAATCTCGACATGTAACTGTATTTATTCAAATTGTTCGATATTATTTACATAACAAAATAGGACAAAAAATCATCATAACAACGTACATGTTTGGGCAAGAGGCTCATGTCGAAAACTCGACACGATGGCAACCGCGACTCGCGGTGCCTGTAATCAGCGTAGGGGGGCAGAAAGTCGTCCGAACTGGATGCCATCCGTTGGATGCGCTTGAGGTGCTCGTCGAAGTCGTACATCTTGACACATCTTTTCTTAACAAAGCACTCCAGGGAAGAGGCGATCCGCGCCGTGCAGCCACACCCGGCCTGATCGGAGACATGGTTGAACCAGGCCGCTACAGGGCTGGCGGCCACCTCGTGTCGACCACCGGCGAGCGGAGGGTCGTGATCCTGCGCGCGCCCCTGGTGCGCCGCCGTCAGACACCTCTCGCCGGTGAGAGCGACGGCGGCCAGGACGACCCTAGGACAAGGGCTTTCTTTAGTAGAGCCTTTGCTTCGGAGTGGGCGGGGCAGATGGTAGATACTACCCTAACTTCTAACTTGTTTCGGGCGTAGTGTGATGGAATCAATACCAGGTGGCTGATTCACGCCGCGCACTTTCGTAGGTATACTGTGCCGCATGCACGGGTGCGGGCGGGTTTGCATATCCTCTCTGCTCACCGTTTCTTTAGGCCGCGTGCGAGTAGGCAACCCGCTCGCCCACGTGCATGCGATACAAGTATAACAACGAAAGTGCGAGACGTGAATCAGCCTGTATCACCTCTGTATAATTAAATTTGTTGTAATAATGTTTTATAAACATTGATTCTGTGGGGTCACTGCACAACTTAGCACAGGCATTTTCCCCATTCATTTCACTGTCCAAGAACCACTTTGCGTTCTGGTAGAGACGGTCTTCGGAAACCATTAGTCCTGTCTAAAAAAAATCAACGACAAGGCAATGAACTCTAGGTCGTAGCGATCGCACTCACCACGCCCAGAAAAGTTCCATGTCGTGGCGCGGCCCGGTGCTGCTGGTGCAGCGTGCTCGCCCCTGCCCTGCCCTGCTCCAGGCTGCTCGCTCCACCCCGCCCGGCGTTGACAGACTGCCGGCTCACAACGGCTCGACACCGCTCCTCTGCTCCTGTGGGCTCGCCCCGACCCGGCCACGAGGGGCGGGGGTGGGGGCGTCCGGGTTAGGGGCGGGTAGAGGTGCACCGAGCCGAGCACTTCTGCCCCCCACTGCCCCCGATACACGCCCAGTTTGGCCAAAATACATAG